AAAATTGGGTACAAACCAATCATGGGCTACCATCACTACAATAATAACTTATGTTTACTAGTCGGAAGGACATATCGATCGTTTATTGCAAAAAGTCATTAAGTACACTTTTGGTCGGTTTGAACCTGAAGGTATGTAGTGGTTAATCTCGATCATATTAATCGATACAATAACTCAGTGAGGGCCAGTTGCTCCAAATCAGTAAAGCTTAGTTTAAGTGTTATCTAAAATTAAACCAAGTTTTCTAAGGTTGACCGATCAAGATTGAACTTGATTTAATCTTAGATAACACTTAATCGAAGATTTACTGAGTTGGAGCAACTGACACCAAGTGCATAAAAATAATACAAATTCTTTTGTATAAAAAAAAATAGTTTCACTGATGTTTTGACCATAAAGAGCAAAAAGTGTTCAAGTTACTTAACGAAATTTTTGTTCCCTAAATAAGTTTTAAGTAGAACACCAAAATTTACTATCTGGTACTTAGTGACTTCTTTCAAGGGATTAAATTATCAGATGTTAACAAAACTAATTAAGTGAGGCAAGTATAACTATGAGCGTCGTGGTTTCAGTTTTTTTATTTTAATTAATTGTCGGAAATAGAATACATATTTAGGGTTGCAAATAACAAAAATAAATAATCAAATTGCTTTTTTAGTATTTGCTTTAATGAATCAGAAACTTCAAATTCGATTATCCCGAATTCAATAAAATCTTAATGATTTTTTTAGCAGCTCTTTATTAGTCTTTCTTCTCTAGGTGTTAGTACTCTGGTCCTATATCGCTCCGGTTATCGTGCGGAGGATTTTTCTCTCAAATCTTTTAATATTTTATTCTAGGGCACTGGTTATTTTCTCACATCCTTCACATTTTAAATTTAAGTGACCAAGAATATTATTCTGGAATCCCTGGGGATCATCCACTATCACTTGTATAGTAATTGACTGTGAATTTATGATGTCTTTTGTCATTTATCCATTTATTTATTCAATTTTAATTTTTGCCTTTGTCTTGTCTTTTTATTTATATTCCATGGAATAGCGTTGATATATGTCTGTGCGATTTAACCTTGTATTTCTAGCATTCGAATACTTTTTTTTTTCAGAAAATATATGTGTTATATAATGGTGATTGTTTAATGTAGTATATTAGTGATATTGTATAAGACTAATGTTATGAAAAGAGAGAGAAAAAAAAAAAGAAATAATATGTTTAAATAATAATGGAATAATGTAATGTAAGAGCTATGTCCATGTGGATTGATCAGTATATTGTGTATAAAGCAACGGTATGTAGTAGAGCAGCATTACTTTCAATATAGTGTCCTCCCACCCTATTAAATTTTAGTAATAGTTTATATTGAAGTAGCCTACAAAAAATCCTGAAATTTTATGACAAAGTTAATTTATTTTTTAACTTGTTTAATAAAATTAGAAGGACTAATCAAAATAAACTTAAAATAAAATGTCGGGGACCAATTTTTTACTTGGGCACATTTTTTTTACTACTAAGGAGGTAAACATACTAAAGTCCCTATTCCTAGGTGGTGAGCCAGATGTGGGGAGGAGGGGACGTCTAGAAGGTCACATTTTTCGGGTTTTCGGTTATTTCTGGAAAACTATCCATCGCATCAACAGTTTTATAGAAAAATTAAAACTGATAAAATTTGCAATATGATTGATTGTATAGGTTTTTTCTCTACCTCAAACTTTAGTTTCCAAGATATCCGTCCTCAACTATGGCTAATTCTGAAAAAAAAATTTGCCTTATGTTTATTGTTGTTTTTCGAATTTTAGCTTATATCAGGAAAACTATCCATCGTATCGACAAAAACGTTGTATACAAAATTAAAGCTGATAAATTTGCAATTTGATTGATTGTATAGGTTTTTTCTCTACCTCACTTAGTTTCCAAGATATCCGCCCTCAACTATGGCTAATTCTGAAAAAAAAAATTTGCCTCGTGTTTATTGTTCTTTTTCGAATTTTAGCTTTTATCAGGAAAACTATCCATCGTATCGATAAAATCGTTATATACAATTTAAAGCTCATAAATTTGCAATATAAATGAGCTTTTTACGCAATTTCGCTTAGTTTCCGAAATATCCGTCCTTAACTATCGTTAATTTAGAGAAAAAAAGTTACTTCATCTTACGATTAAGTCATGCAGAAGAAAGTTTTTAATAATTAAATTTTCTTTAAATATATATATTATTTCACTAGTCTCCTACAGTTCAAAAGTTTGATCAATTACAACTTTTGATCTAATTTTAATATCTTTTTTTTATAATAGGTATTAACGATTTTCATATTACATGAATACAAGTAATCAGTACTTTAAAAACTAAAAATGTTGAAATAAAAATTATTTAATTTAAAAAAATAGATACAATTTCATACATCCTAAGGAACCGAATCTACTTCCATATCTACTTAAATATGTTAACTGGTTGTATGTGAAATTGAGGTCGTTGAATATTACAACTGAGTTTGGTAGTGGAATACCTTCCACAATTAATTCCGACAGCTAAGTAGCCATGTTAGTACATTCGTTTCCTTAGGGTGTAGAGTGTTAATATATTTGTCTTTAGGAGTATTCTCCATTCAAATAGAGCCTAGCTGGGCTACAAACAGGAATAGTAATAGTTGTGTACAACAGGGTTCGTTACTTAAGGCCATTTACACTTGTCATTTCCTTTAATCAATTGGATGTCTGTATGGATCATTTTGGTCAAATATCAAAGATGAATGATGAAAGAAGTAGACCACTACCCCACTTTTTATGCCTTCATCGGTCATCAATTTTATCAGACCAATGATTCATACAGAATGAATGTAGTGAAAAATGTAAACAAGACCTCTAATTGTAATGAAGCAATGTCGCAGCGCATAATAGTTTTTTATCGTTTTTGTTTTGTTTGAACTACATCATTAAATTTTTTAATTACTTTATTATCTTGAAATAATGGGTAGTGGACTATTTTCGTCGCCATTACTTCATAACAATGTAACTCAAGTAGAATACAGTATACAGGTAACAGTCTGAGTACCTAATGAACACAAGTGGCGATATTGCAAATCAAATATACAAGAAAAAGTTCTCGGATTGATGTTAACCGTAGAATATATAAAAACTAAGATAAAAACGATTAGAACAAGGTATACAACAGAGTTTGATATAGCCCGTAATACAGACCCCTTTTCATCGAATCCATCTGAAATGTCGTAAATAGTTTCATCTCATCGCAACCTACAACTACTTTATTTACGATTACTCTTGGAATTGGGACGTTTTCAATCTGGAGGGGGACAAACTTTATCTATTTAATTAGGTTTAAAAACTCGTAAATACACATTTTCTTTCTACTTGGATCGTAAGATAATTTGAAAAAGGTGGCCTTGAAAAATATTGAGCCTTTTGGCATGACCTACACCCCCAAATTTTTAAATAACGAGGTTATATAGGACAAACGGCCCAATATTTTTGTAAGCCTTCTTTTTATCGATTTTGTGATGAAATTATCTTACGATCCAAGTAGAAAGCAAATGGGTATTTATGAGTTTTTAGTACCTAATGAAATAAACAAAGCTTGCACTCCTCCAGATTTAAAACTACCCAATTTCAAGAGTTTTCGAAAAAATAGTTGTGGGTTACGATGAGATGAAACTATTTTCGAAGTTTCAGGCGGATGTTAATAATTCGATTATACTTTTGATTATTATTTTGTTTTATTATTTTTTTTTTTTTGTACATATAGTGTGAATGTCATCCTACCTCACTATAACCAATGTCCAAGAGACAGATTGTTATAATACTCAATAAAGAAATTAAAAAAAAAAATAATTCGATAAAAATGTTTCTGTACCACGGACTATATTAAGCTTCAAGAGTTTTCCTTCTTGAAAGCCATGAGTTCACGCATCAACGTCTATAAGCACGGTCAGTTATCAATACATTTCCCTTTAGTTCAGAAATCATCTTGACAAAAAAAAATATTTCCACAGTTATGAACCTTAATTTTTATCTGAAAGAATACGATTCACGTATTTATGAGAAATAAAATGTTGAAGGGTGCCGTGAAACCTTTTTGAAACCATTTATTTTCAATTTTACCAGAAAATTTATAATTCGTGAGGCAGGTCTAAAAAATATTTCTTTTCTTCGTATCTTTTTCTGAATTTTCTCAGAAACTCAATGGATGTACGAAAATTGAAAGGACTTTAAGTAGAAGATTATAGGATAGTTTAATAAGAATCGTTGATTCCACCGAAGGATACGCTACGAAGTATACAAAAAACGTGTTTTTTTCTTATTGCACAGGTAGCGCCGAATGTTTTTTACAAGCATCGGTAATTAAAACTTTAAGAAATACAAATAGAAGCTATCAAATCGGCCCACTCCTTCCAGATATAATTGTGGCACTGACAGAACAATGGCTGAAAGTGTGTTCTTTGGACTCAGGGGACTTTGAAACCTAATGATTTGCTGACAATTATCCAATTGCAATACTTTCTTTACCTCGTAGCGGTAAATAAGTAAAAACGTTTAAACTCAAAATTCTCTAAAAATATTATTATTCCTGTAAGTTCCTTTTAGATATGCCATTAACGACATCTCAAATACCATTTAATTTTGTTTCTTTTTTTTCCATTAAGAATATTTAATTTTATGTAAAAAGAAAAAAAAAAGAAAGCTCCAAAATTAAATCCTCAATCCGCTATTGCGTAAAAATGATACAGTGTAAACACGCTTTAAAGTACTATTAGAATTATTACTTCTGAAACCGTTTGTTTTAACTCTTGCCCCGTCAATAAGAATTCCTAATAGTAATTTCAAAGTCTCAGTTGTTAGTCCATGAAAGCAATTATTATGCACTTAGAACGAACGGGGTTTCCATTATTGTCGCCCGTTATGCAGGAAGTACTCCACTTCTTCGTATTAAAAGCCGATGGTAGGGGCTGGAGGGAGGGGAGGCGAAGTGGGGAGGGCGGGCGATCGAGCTACGAACGGCAGATGTAACGAAGCCTTGACGATGTCGGTAGCCCTGTTCCTCTGCTGGCTGGTGTCCGGGAGTGCGGCCGTCGTACAGCTACCCAACACAGCCGGCATCGACGGCGAACTCACCGCCAAGCTAGGAGTTGACCGCTTCTTCTCGTTGTGGATCGTCTTCAACAACGACGATGTCATCATGTCCGGTGAGTAGCAACCTCTCTAGGTCCACGGAGGTTGTCCTCCGGAAGGAATTTTAGAATAGATTTATTGCCAGAACTTAAGTAAAATTCGGTGAGGTTGCGTGAAGGTTCGAACGATACACATAAAGTTATAGGCCCTTTTATGTGTAATATGATATAATTATTATTCGAAGTTTTTTTTTTAAAATACCGAATACCTTGCCATTTATGGTATACGGAAGGGTTTCTTCCAGAGCTGCAGCCTAACATATTTTAATGAGAGTGGAAAGGTCGAGATTCATTCTGTGGGTCCGCCACGAATTTCAACCTGCCCTAGCCGGATTCAAACCGTCGTTAAAGTTAACACTTATACGGTTTATTGAACTTGGTTGTTTGTGGGCTATTTTTACATAAATGATTAAATTATTGTGAAACCTGATAGGAGTTCGGCCCCTTCATAAAATATTGGGGGTCAGAGAATGACGGCGTATATGATATGTGGGTTCTGGAAATTGACATTCATCGAATTCCATGACGCCTGTTCGTTCGTTCTAATATTTTTGTTTTATTGTTTACGGCAGATCAGGAGAGCACATCCCTCCCCTAAAAGTTGATGGGACATTTTCCCCTTCCAAGAAATTTTATTACTCTGATCTTCTGTAAAACAGTGCTATCGAAAGTAGAACTAAGATAACTGTAGATCATATAGAATTACACGTGCTTTAATCTGTTTCATGTTTTTTCTTGTTTGAAAGTTCTTCCACATTAAAACCCCGCAAAAATATGGTTCTCTTAAAAAAATCATAACCCTCCCAAACTGTGCCTTCCCCTTTTTATATTAAATCCTATATAAATGTGTCCCTTCAAAAATTTTAATGGCGCAACTTGCCTTGCTATAACTTTATTGACATCCCTCTAGTCCTCTCTATTGAGCTACGAAATCTTTCATATGATGAAATAAAACATGTTGGAATATCTTTTATAACTGGTTCTATATTTTTAAAAATAAATTAGTTAAGAGAATCCTGTCACGATTGGCCATCTTCGTAGTCAGCGCTTTTTGATATCCTTATCAAGGCCATCAAGCTTACTCACAAACTTGACCTAAAACGGCAGGTAAATGTCCTAGGCGGCATTTGTGTTAATCAATTTACCGGCATGCGCCAATGTCACGGCTAAGCTTTCCTTGACATTTTTACTGATACCATATTTAGTTTTAAATTATAATTATAATAATCTAATGCCATTTTGATAATAAGGATTTGATTTTTTGTTTTTAATTCATTGAGTCATTCCACGCTATATTTTAATTTCTTTATTGAGTTTTATTATATTTTCTCACAATAACGACACGAGTAATAGTGATACAGGAGTTCATTCTCAACATATATACAATAAATAAAAATAAATTAAATTGAATATCAGAAAAATAAAAATGTAAACAAAAAATAAATTTAAACTAATCACAATAACAAAATAAATTCAAATATATTTATATACAATATTTAAAATCATTCAGGGAAACTCCGTGCCCAACCTTTCCCTCACATGTGGAAGGAAAAGCTGTACTCAAGGAAATGTAATATTATGGCAATTATATGAATCACAGCGGCGAATAGTGGAGAAAATTTGGTTTTTGCTTCTAGTAATTGGCTAAAGTATACAATTTTGTATGGATTTTTTATTTAAGGCCGCACTTTTTAAGACCAATCAAAAAAATAAATAAATTTCAATAAATAAATTGTTTAATTATCTATTTAGTTAAAGATAACGAATTTGTTATCATGTTATAATATTATAAAATTATTCTGATCTTATGTCTTATAATTATTAATAATCCATGTTTCATTTTCTTCCACGATTCTTACAAAATGTATTTTATAGGAAAATATTAACTATTTATATGGTTAGATCTATTTTAATATATATATGTACTTTTTTTTTTTTTTGGCGTTTCAGACCATGTAGATCTTATGCCGCCTTAACAAGCCTGCCCCATCTCTGCCTGTCTTGGGCTATTTCTTCCCATTTATCTGCACGCAGCTCTATTTCAACTTTGTTTGATTCTATCCATCCATCTGCTTTTTGGTCTTCCACGTGGTCTTTTGCCTTCTATTGAGGCATTCATTATTACGTAGAAGCTTCCAGATGGATTGCTACGAGCTACATGCCCGACCCATTTTAATCTCCGTGCCTTCATATCATGGAATATTGATAGATCAATTTCTATAAGCAGTTCTTTATTGGTCTCTCTTCTCCATGTGTTAGTACTCTGATCTCAAATCGCTCCGGTTATCGTGCGGAGACTTTTTCTCTCAAATCATTCTACACTTTTTTCTAGGATGTATGTATATACATTTGTTTTTATAGGTAAATGAAGCAGAACTATTGATAAAGCGTGCTTATAACTTCAATTTTATTTATTTATTATTATTAATTTTTTTTTTAATTTAGCCATTTCTATCGATCGAGCGATCGTCCTTTTCCCAATAAAAATGTTGAAGGGGTGACAATATCGTTTCGCCCCTCAATAGTTTGAGGTAAAAAAATAAAATCTATAATAAATAAGTTACTTGAATGAATAAAATGTGTAAACTAAAATCGACTAGCTGGTTATGCTAGGATCGATTAGTAAGGATCTACCTATTTTATTGTTACCTAAACGTTACTTTTATTTACATTGTCATTCATATTCAAAGATAATAATGATATATTAACATATCATAGAATTTTATGATTTAATTACCCACCCGTCAATTTCCACTTGATATTCTCACCACATTTTCCGCGGCAAACTAGTTGGAACTATGAAAAACGTTTTTTTTATTTGAGATTGTTTACTCTCAGAAATCATAGATATCACTATTTACATTATACATCTTAGCTGAAATTTTTTTAGAAATGTACTAATGTTATGAAGTCTCTCTCTCATCTCCTCTCCCTCCTTTGTTTCATCTATACAAATTCGTTCTTTATTCAATTTATGTATGCTTCGTCGCACCCCCCCCCCCCTTCAATTAAAATTGAAACTATTATGCCTATGCTCTGAGAATTATGTATCAATAAGTCGTTTATAAACACATTATTGTTTTATTCATTTTTATTCTAGCATAAAATATTCTTACCGCATTATTACTTGAACATCACCTTTGCATTAAAAATCAATTGGATGTAAATTAATTGATGTTGTGCAATGGGCAAGTACTGTATGTAAATGGCCTCACTGCCTTTGTTTGTAATTAGTCACAATTGACATTCTATATTTCAGATATATGCCACGCAATTAAAAAGCTAATTGCGTGGTATATAACGAAAAATTAAATCTGAATAAAATATATTTTTTATAACTCTTTTAGACTGAAGCACTCCGTTAATAACTTCTGAAAAATAGCAAAGTTCTTATCTATTATTTAAAATATCCATCCTAATCAAATCCACATTTTTCAAGTGTCATGTAACATATTTCACTTGGTTCTTCAACTGTCGGGTAACCGCGGTCAGAGTGCGATGTACCATGATGTGGAATCTAAAACTAGATAATTACGCAATTGGAAAGCTCATTACGCAACAATTAGAGGCCTACATGGTGCGAAGCCCCCTCCGGCCTCCAACTATTTGCTAATAGCTCTTACTCTTTATTAATAACAAAAATTCTGGTGCGCGCATCACACGAATTTCACTTACCACCATCCTCTTATCAGAAATAAGTATTCCTAGACAAAGTGGAAGTGAAAGTAAAAATTATAGACGCTATATGTATTTACATTTCATCGTGGGTATTTTTATTTGTTTAATTACCCTTATTACAAATTTTCATTTTTTATATCGCTGTAATCTAAACAATTAAATTACACCAACGATAGCATTTATGAAAACCGTATATGGATATGTACATAATATTGACGGAGTCCGTATTATATTACGTTCATTTTATGTATGGAAGTCTGTTCTAATCTTTCGGGCGAGTTCGGTGAGCTCGTAGCAAGTATTATCGGTTACGATCTCTTATTCCTCCTTTAATTAATTATCAAATTCTTTTGTATTTTATATTCAAGTATTTTTTATATCAAAGATTAATGTGAAATGGTTAATTATTTCAAATAAAAAAAATTAAAGGTACTTTGGAGGAAGCTAATATTGAAAATAAGCCCTGTTAGAGAACATCAATGAGAAAAAAACCTACATTATATTAAAAACTGCTTAATAATACACTGAGTTTAATCAAAATCGTTAGAGCCGTTTATGAGAAAATCGTAAACATGTGTTAAATCGATAATATAAATTACCACATCCGGTTTACCGATTTTGACGAAAATTTTGCTGTAATAGCCCAGGCTTACACATAACACACACACCACTTTGTGAGACTTCATTATTTGGACTCGGAGGACCTCAAAATGTGTATTTATGTTGAAAATTTTCACGATCGCAATACTTTCTCTTACTGTATATTACATATATAGGTAAGTGAAAATAAAAACAAATTACTTCGATTTTTATTACAGCATACTTTTATTTTAATTTTTTTTTTTTTTTGTTTATTTAATGGAATTTACAACTGTATACAAATACAACAAGTAAATATGCGCAAATATAAATAATGGCATGTACAGGCTTGAAGAGTTACTACCCAGTGGTAGCACTCTCTAAATAATTTTAAGTAAGAAGATCACGAGGCCATCTCCTTTTCAGACGCCTAGGAGGATTATCAGGAATCGAGAAAGAAGCAAGAGTGGAAACAAGCGGATTTGGATGGGACTGAAGTTTATCATGAAAGGATAGATATCTGGCTCGAGCTAAAACAGCGACATATGGTACATTAAGGTCTTTATGAATGGTTTTATTTGTGACAAAGTATGGAGCATTAAGGATTTTACGGAGGATTTTGGATTGTAAGGATTGGATACGATAGGAATTCGATGGTTTGGTGGAGCCCCAAAGCTCATTTTAATTTAAAACAGCCATATTAGTTCCATACTCTGCAGTTATGTTTCATTGGCCATTGAAACCAAATTTTTTTTATG